ATTAAAAGAACATTTCGCTGCCTGGAATCCAACCCAGATCCTCCGCGCGACAGCCAAACACGGTAACCATTCGGAGGCACACATGTTAATGCGAAAAAAGAAAAATTATTTTTTAAAATTTGGTTTCAAAACAAGCTTTTCGTGCAAGGCTCGTCAAATTCTGGGGCGCTGGAGAAAGCAGCTTTCTGCGTTAAGTCCTTATTTCGAACTCTTTTGTTCGCGTTCCGCCTGTTGAAAAGCATGCGGGAAGGGCCTCAGAACACACCAGGTATCTCTGCGGCGCAGCGTTCATCCGCCACATAAAGCACGACTGCTTTCATCGCCGTCATCCTGGCAACGAACACCAAATGACTGGCAGACCGCACGGTACCGCCGCATGAAACCAGCAACAGCTGACGCCATTGTACAAACGCCGTCTTTTAGCCAAAGCCGAAAGTGGTGTGTCAGATAGGCCGCGTTTGCCGGTGCGACGCAGCCAAAGAGGACGAAGCTGAGACAAGCCGACGGTGATTGAGCAAGCGAGAGCGCAGCGAGACGACTGCAATTGGGCATTTATTGGGACCAAATATTGAGACCCACACAAGGCCTCCGGGCTTGAAGCGAACGTCGATCCGACGAAGGTTGTACCGGGTGGCGTTCACATGTTTTTAACCTTGAATCCAGAGTCGGACGAGCTGGCGAACCTCTTCAGCTTATTGAGCTGCAACATGGTCGTCGTGACTTCCATCGTCAGCTGGTTCGTGCGGCAGCATTGCGTCGAGTATGGTCGTTACTTTTCTGCCATGCACCAGCTGAAACGGTCTTACTCCTGTGGTCTCTTGCACCGCCGTGTTGTAAGTAAACGTGACGTTGGGTATCACGTCGTCCCACGACGTGTGTTCTACGTCGATATACCTGGAGATAATGTCGGCGATAGTTCTGTTTAGTCGTTTCGTTAGTCGATTCGACGGTGGCTGGTGCTACTGAGACGAAGAAATTCTTGCGTCAGCTGAGCCATAAATGACGGTACACAGTCTGTATTGAGGACTTCGGAGCGCCGTGCCGGAGGACAATAGACTCAATGAAAAACTTGGCGAGTTCAACAACAGTCCCTGAAAGAAGGGCTTTCGTTTTGGCGCACCGCATGAGATAATCTGTGGCGATGATTATCCAGCGGTTTCCCGATTCAGATGGCGGAAAAGGGTTAAGTAAATCAATTCTGATCTGCTAGAACGGCGTGGACGCAGAAGCCATCGGAGGCAGAAGTCCTGAAGGCTTCGGCGATGGTTTCTTGCGTCGCTGACACACGTGGCATGATCGAGTGTAGAGGTGAACCGTCTATGGTAGCCTTGGCCACTAGTATTTTTCCCGAATCCTGGACAGCGTCCTGCTGTAGCCAAGGCGCCCAGCCGTTCGGTCGTCGTGGCAGGCTTGAAAGGTCTCCTCCTTAAAGTCGGCAGGAATTACCAGCAGGCACGGCGCGCTGATGTCTCCGAAGCTCTCCCTGTAAACTACACCTTGTCGAATGACGATGGACAGCAGGGCTCCCGAGAAGATACGGGAAATAGTACCCCCTCGTACATCGAGGTGCTCGATTAGCGCGCGCAACTCAGGATTCTCTCGTTGACGTCGTGCCATGTCGCCGGTGTTCACAGTGCCTAGGAATCACTCGTCGCCATCGTCGTCGCCGCTACCGGGAGATGTCTCGAAAAGGGCTCTGGGCAAGCAATCGGCGTCGCTGTGCTTGCGGCCTCACTTATAGACCACAGCCATGTTGAACTCCTGCAGTCGGAGACTCACTCCATCGAGCGAGACGTCCTGAAGGGTCCATCAGGTACCGAAGCCAACAGAGCGAGTGGCGGTCCGTAACAACCCGGAAAGAGCTCCCGTAGAAGTACGAGCGAAACTTCGTTATTGCCCAGACGACCGCAAGATACTCCTTTTCAGTCATGGAGTAAGTTTATCTCCGCTTTGGACATTGTCCGACGTGCGTAGGCGACAACTCGCTCGTTGCCTTCTTGCACTTGAACCAGTACCGCGCCAAGTGCTGCGTTACCTGCGTCCGTATGAATCTCGGTTTCCGCATCTCTATCGAAGTGTCCAAGAACAGGAAGAGTCTGCAGTCGTAACTTCAACTCGTCGAATGCGTGATGCCGCTCCTCGGCCCATTGGAACTTTTCGGTGTCCTTCGTGAGTTTTGTGAGCGGTGCGGAAATCCTTGTGAAATCCCGAACGAAGCGTCAATAGTGGGCACAAAGTCCAAGAAACCTTCGAAAGGCCTTCTTGTCTGTCGGCGCCGGAAATGCCACGACGGCGCGAGTTTTCTAGGGGTCTGGGCGGACGCCTTCATTACTAACCACGTGGCCTAAGTAACTCAGTTCTTCTTAGGCGAACGGGCATTTTGACGACTCGAGAGTGAGTCTGGCGGTCCGTGGGGTTGGAGAACAGCTCGGAGTCATTTCAAATGTTCTGCGAAGTCACTTGAAAAAACTACGAGGTCGTCAAGGTAGACAGACAGCTCTGCCACTTCAATCCTTCCAGTACGGTGTCCATGACATGCTGGAAAGTTGTTGGCGCCGTGCATAGTCCAAAGGGCATTACCTTAAACTCGTACATTCCATCCGGCGTGACGAAAGCTGTCTTCTCTCGGTCCCCTTTGCCGACTTCGATCTGGCTGTAGGCGCTCTTCTGGTCCATTGGTGAAAAGTATCGAGAATGACGCAGCCGGTCTAGCGTGTCATCGATGCGGGGTATTTGATAGACGTGGTTTTTATTTACCGTGTTCAGCTGCCCGTATTCCATGCAGAACCTAAGCGGTCCGTCCTTCTTTTTAACCAGCACTACTTGAGAGGCCCATGGACTACTTCCGCATGGTTTTTGAGTTCTTGTACGAAGGTCTTCGGCCCGCTGTCTACGGTGCTGATTCGTGAATGTATCCTTCAGGCCGGCGATACAGGTGTCCCACGACGTAAGTGAAGCCTCGTGGTTTTCGAAACATATCCTCGCAGTGCCCTCCAAGGAGGAGTGGAGGTTTTGAAGGCGCTGCTCCGTGGTCCATCCATTATGGCGGGCTACGTGTTCATTGTGTTGAAGCCAGTTTTCCACATCACCGTGGGCCTGGCCACGGAAGGTCGTCGGTGTTCGTTGGGTTGCGGGCAGGTAGACGACGGGTAGAACGATCTTGGTCTGCAGCGAGTGGCTGTTCGTCGTCCGGGTAGCTGACTGCTCTACTTTGGCAGGTAGGACGTCAAATTCCGGGGGTAGCCCTTGGTTGCGGCGACTTCAACATATCTTCGTTGGGCCTTCGTGGGCTTGGTGTGGAACTTCCACTGCGGGCCCTCGGAGGGGTACGCTGCAGGGACATGTGATGCCCAGAACCTCCACCAAGATGTCAGGAATGAACAGGTGAGGAAACAAAAAATATCCGGTATTTTTTTAGTGCACATGCGTTTGCAGCGGAGATTTGAGACCTGGATATTTGTTTGTCATATGTTAATTATTATGATCGATATGTTAGGATTCCGAATGTTCGAAGAAAGAATTTTATTTGAACGCAGTGTGGTTAGTGGGGAACTTTAATACCTCTGACAGTGTTCAATGTTTCTTTCCTTGGATTGAAAATTCTATACTTGATGAGTATGATTATTTGTCTAGCATTTCTCAGTTTAAAAAACAAAAATTTGCTCAGAGTCTGCCTGGAGTATTTTATAAACGGTAGAAAAAATTTTTCCAAGTGGTGAGCTTTATTTGTTTCGAAAGGAAGACGATCAAGCATTCCCTAGAAAAGCAGTATACGTACATTTAAAAAGCGTTGTTTTAAGGTTAAAGCATGTTTTGCTTTCTAGTATGAGGTTATAAAAGCCTAACAATCATCTCGAGAGGTGGGTATTTGTGATTATGGCCATCCTGTGAGCGGTCAAGGCAAGGCAGTTTTAATCGAGCACACAAGCACGCTTCTCAGATGAGACCGAATGCGCCTAGGTGAAATGAACATCTCAACACCGGTGGTTCCGGCAGCCGAGTTTTGCACCGAACGAGCGCCTCAAGTCTTGTGGAGGTACCAACCAAGCTTCCAAGGACCCGTCGCCAACATCGAGTCTTTTCTTACTGAACTTAACCGTTGACTGCGCATAGCGTGCGACTCCTCTTAGGTCCATTTATTCGACTCTCTCATAACTGCGACTTTTGCACTGACAACCACCGTCCCGAAATTAGGAGTCATTTTAGGGGCGAAGCTCCTTAGGGTCTAGCCATGTCCATCCGTCCGGCGTCCGTACTCACATCGATTGCTCTGCCTCCGGGATCAGCCCACTTTCAAAAAGTGGAAAAAAGAAAACGTACCACCGCACGGGGGTTTGAACTCAGGACGGCTTCCTTACAAGGCAGACGTCTTAACCACTACGTTACACGCCAACATTACATACAGCCGCTCAACGTCTATACAGGAGAGGGCGCTGCGGTCAAAAGCGTATATGATCGCGTTAAACTTTGCATGCATTGGCTCAACGTTTATAGACGAGAGGGCGCTGCGGTCAAATGCTCATCTGCGTCCATACCACACATTCTCTTTCTGACATGGACAATTGACTTAAGCGGTGGAGATGCGTTGCCACGACTTCTAGCGGATGCAAGCTGATCCGCTAGAAGTACCTCTGGCTCTGCATTTCACCGACCATAAAGCAGTAATAATGAAGTCGAAACGTAACCTGGAACTCAGCACTACCTATGAGCAATAAAAAAAATCAGCACCATCAGCATTATCTATTAACAATAAAATCAGTATCATCAGCACCACCAGAGCTTCGCCCCAATCAACATCATTCACCACGTGTAGATATGGCCTCTTTTTTTTCGATCACAGCTGGAACCCACGATCATCTTAGTCACCTAGCGGAGGTCAATATGAGACACGAACTAGACGCGAGCTTTGCGTCGCTAATCGACTTGACTGCGTTCCCCGCGCGGTCTTTCGGTGGGCGACGTCGATTATCCGTACGGCGCGATGTCGGCTCGGCGCTCACCGTCGGCATATCTGGGCGGCAGCAGCCTGCGCATACAGCTGAAGGCGACTCCCCAGTCCGAGTGGTCGAGGTTGTTGCACGAGCCGTCCATCTCGCGGAATGGTCCCGGCCGGCAGATACCGTTGCTCAGCCTGTGGCACTGCTCCTTCACCAGCTGCAGACGGGAGCCCGAAAGGTCTGTGCGTGCCAGGCCGTGGAACTCATCCTCCCAGAACATCTTCATCCTGAAAGGGATGCACACGAAGGAAATTTCGTGAATGACCAGGGCGTTAGAGCGCAGATATTGGCTGGGTTCCGCTGTTTTCGGAACACCCCCTTTTGTCTCGCTATTATGGACGCCTGCCATAACGCACTGTTTGGCGAGGAACACGGTGTTTATATTAATGAGGCATCACTGTTTGGCTAAGCTACAAAATGCAATCTCAAATGGGCTTTCATGAAAATGGAAAAAGGAATCATGAACCGCTCTGCGAAGGTGGATGCCCAGTGGAGCTGACTTTCGAACGAAGGCACATTGATTGTCTTGGACGGTGGTCACCGTAACGGAAGGTACGCACACATATGCCGACGACCATCGGCACCCCCAGGAGCCGTCGGAGACTAGACACTCGCGACGGGAACGCCACCCGGCGGAAGGAAAAAAACACTAGGCACGGAAGCGGCTTGGAACGACGACGACAAAGAGAGGGCGATGCGCTTCCGTCCTCTTTTCCGCTGATTTTCTGGCTAAATTTAGCCGAAAATGTTTACCGCTGAGTTTAGCGGGGAATATTTCCGCAAGATTTGGTTGGAAAATTTTCCGCTAAATTCAGCGGAAAAAAATAAGTTTTTGTGGACGCACACAAAAAATCTACGGAACCCTAGCCATCAACAGCTTCGCTGTAAAACGAATAGAAACTATCACTGATTATGAACAATCCAAGGTTCACGGAAATAACTATTTATCTAGAACTTATGATGACCCGGAACTGGTTCCCCCTCCTGTCAGTCTGCGAGGCTTTCGTGGGCCTTCAGGAAACATGAAGCTATTTATTTTTCCGTGACGGGAGTGATTTAGCCGCAGATTTAGGTGACATGCAGGATTCCTGGAGGCAGATCTTTTTTTCTGCGTAAGCCCCGCTTCTGAATGAAGTATAGCTCGAGGTACATAAATTGCGTTGCAGCTCAGGCAGCCTTGGGCTTCGAAGTGAAAATGCTTCGAATATTCGTGCAGATGGACCTGGGTCATACCGATTTCTCCTCTGCATACATTGCTGCCGGCCTGACATCAATACAGTGTGAAGGCTTGAGCGACGATATTTTATTGTGGCTTATTTTTGTTTAATTACGTGGAATCGTTTTTCTCCCATGGACCTCATATTTCCGCAGGGTCTTTTGCGTGTCAGTGACCCGAATTCTTGCTATTTCAAAAGATTATCGCATCAGTAAAATATTCAGGTTTTCTAGTTGTTTAAGCATTTGAGAAATAAATAGCGCGAAGGTCAAGTATCCACTGATTTTTCAGTGTGTACTCGACCTTCACACTATTATTATCTAAAACTGCGAAGCAAGGTCCCTTAATGGAATATTCCTGGCAGGTTGCGCGTATAAGGACAAAATAAGTTGGCTCTTCCTTTTGGCAGAGTGGGGTCCTCCTTTAAGGATCATGATTGTTGGAGCTCTATGACTAAAATAGAACGTCATTAGCCGCTTTGACTCACTCATGCCTGTACCTACTCTTCAGTATTGTATGTGGTAAGTATTTTGGCAACGTAGAGTGCAAATGAGATATTTTCTCTCTGCTGATCTGAACAAGTGTGCTCGGATACTGTTATTTTATGAGCTACCTTTCCACCTTTCTTTCCTTGCGTTTCGTTTGACTTTATACGACGCATTTTGTACTGCTGACCCTGAATATTGTTATTTCAGATAAAACCGTCACAGAAAGAATTAGAGCTTTCTAATCAATGGAATACTGCCCAGAATTGTATGAACCTTCTTGATCAGTTTGATTTGGAAGACCTATCTATTACAACAGCAAGTGGTGTACATATGTTTATTTAGCATTGCTTTGCGATTTGCTGGCGCACCTACTTTTTGTATTTACCTCACCTACCCCATTTACCTCAAATTAGAAAACACCGTAAACAAACATTAAGCTTGTGTCGTCAGTGCATGTTAAGAAACAAATTGTGCGTGCTAAATTGAAAATATTGCACAGCTACTTGCTGCAATTTTAAAGAACTATTAAAATCACTTAGGTGATTACCTGAGTTCTACATACTTAGTTTATTCCCTTTTCCAGCTGACAAACAAGACGACGCAAATGACGGAATCATATTTTATCGACGTGGCATGCACCGTCAATAAGGTTCAAGTACCTTACCGGAGTTTATTCATACAGATTTCGTACATTTTAAATAGTTAAACTGATATTGTTGTGCATTTGAATTTATGTATATAATACTTTCGAGCGTGTACTCTAAGTATACTCAGACAGCTTTTTTGTTTTTAAACTGGATAATAGTCTCAATACAAGCAAGGTATGCCCAGGGACGTGTAACCGTTTTTTTTTTTAATTTACAAGTGTAATTTCTGTGCAGTCCAGAAGGGCGCTATTTGTACACTGAAAGTACACTCTCAAAAGTCTGCCCTACTAAAAGTATACTCTTAGTACACTATGTAAACTTCTAGAGTACCAAGGGCTTCGCGTACGGTGGAATAAAAATCTACGATATGTGATAATTGTATCATTATTGAAATGAAAGTGACACTTTATTTAATTAGAAACACCATTGCACAACCCCTAACAAATTAGAAAAAAATAAAAGCTTTCGGGCGACGTACAATTACAAAGTTTAATTTTAATACAATATGAACGTCTCTTGTTTCATGCATTAAAACATTCCCAAGCTTTTAAAAAGAGGAAATAGTTGACAAGATTAAACACGACAGGCACATTATAAAATTTATTATTTTAAAGGGTACCGTATGGTTTGGTGAGTATATTACACTGGCTGGTTCCGTGAACATACGTTTTGTTCGTCAAGAATATACACGCAGTCTGCCAGATTAACCACGCTAAGTTGTCAATTCTATTTATTTCTCTGTTATTTCCCTAACACGCCACGTATGGTTGTTTCCTCACAAAGTAAAACCTTGGGGTTGATTCGGGGCCCCTGATTGGCCTTTTCAGGCGCGTCACGAATGGGCGTCGCAGCGACCGCTTTCCTTTCCGACTTGACGCACTTCGGTCCTTTACACGGTACACAGAGGCAGAGGGGGCTTCAAACTTGGGTGAACAGCCGCCAGTGTCCCACGCGTACACGGATGCCGCCACTGAGGTTTGCTTCCTTACAGCCCATTCAAAGGTTTCGAAGTCAGCGCTGCGCGGTTTCCTGTCACGAGCAGTCTCTCATCTCAAACAAAAAACGAGATCGAAAGATTTATGAACTAAACAGATCATACAAAAAAAAATTGATCTATGAAAAAAAGTGAAAGCCGTTTACAACTTCCTGTAACGCCGAATTGGAGCGCAGCTCTTGAGGAGGAGGAGGGAAGGGTACTGAGGGGAGGGTATATTCCTCCTCCTCCCTCGTGATCATGCCTGCTAGTCCTCCCGTCCTCCTCCTCCACCCCCTCTCTCTCCTTCACCGCCTTATCGTCCTTCAAGCTCCTCCCCTCCCCTCGCCTCCGTCTCCCCCTCCTCCTCCCCCTCCGCCTCCCCCTCCTCCTCCTCGCCCCCAAGGTCGTGACCCCCTCCCCCCGAGGTCACGTGACCCCCGGACCATACTAGACAATAAGGGGAGGAGGAGAAGGAGGGAGAGGAGGAGGAGAAGGAGGGAGAGGAGGAGGAGGGGGAGGAGGAGGAGGGGGAGGGGCGCGGTTACGCCGACGCCGCACAAGCTGGAAACGGGTCATGTGACCCCCCCCACCGAGGTCACGTGACCCCCTCGGACCACACTAGATAATGAGGGGAAGAGGGGAGGAGGAGGGGGAGGAGAAGGAGAGGAGGAGGAGGGGGAGGGGCCGCACAGGCCGACGCCGACGCCGCACAGGCTGGAAACGGGTCATGTGACCCCCTCCCCCCGAGGTCACGTAACCCGCCCGGACCATACTACACAATGAGGGGAGGAGGAGAAGGAGGGGGAGTACGAGGAGGAGGAGGGGGAGGAGGAGGAGAGGAGGGCGTGGTTACGCCGACGCCGACGGCGACGCCAACGGCGACGCCGCTCAGGCTGGAAACGGGCCCCTAAGAGCTGCGCTCTAAAAATGTGCTCCTCTGATGCACTACCGTGACAAAGGAATCAAGAATGCGAAGCATCGACCAGCTAGATGGGATTTCATGGCCGGAGGTTCTGCCGCAGAGCAACTAAGGGAACGAGATATACCGGAACGGAATAAGATGGAATAGTCATGCCGTGCTGAGGGATACTTGTTAACGGCAAAATCCAGAAAGCGCTCTGAACAGGTAAAAAGAAAAGCGCCCTTCTGTATTTGATTACCTGATGTCACCAACGAGAGTAACTTGCATCTACTCGAGCAAGGGTTGAAGCGCAACAAGCGTAGCACAGATAAAAGGTGATATTTTTAAAGCGTTTTAGTAAATAATGCTGGATTTTTTGTAGGACTCATACCTGAGACCATCACGGTTAAAAAATATGACACTATATTTGGGGCAGGCACAAGCGCTGCGTCAGTGTACAGCTGGACCCAAATTAGTGAGGGTTCCGGACGAACACTGATACAGACTTGGTGTGAGCAGAATTGCAAAACCGCAAACAGTTAGGTGCCAGCTATATTAACGGTTGCGTGTTAATATAATGGGCAGTGTTCCCATCTGCGGTTGAATGAGTCCTCCACGCACTGCAATAAAATACCGAATCTGCACTTTTAAAAGTGATAGCTTCGCAGGTGACACTTTGCAAGGATTTTGGTGTCAGCGCCGTCTGTCGTTGCAGCGGTGATGCAAAAACACTTAGGCTGGTTTACAGAGCCCTGTTTGCTTACGTCACGTTACAAAAGCTTAAGCATGCCTAGGCCACAAGTCACCGGGACATCTCCGCTTCGTATTGCCGCGCGCGCAGCTGGCCAAGTAGGCAGCGCGCACGTTGCCTAGCGGTTATCGTGCTTGCCTACCACGCGATCAGCCGAGGTTCGATGCCTGGCCGCGGGTACATTTTTTTTTGTCTTTTTCTGTAATGTCGCGTTCTGGTACATTCGAGTGCCCTGAAGCTTATTCGAG